CTGTGCATTACAAGAAACCCAGAGTTTGATGAAGACTGGGTTCCCTCAGTCACAAAATAAAAAGGAGTGTATGGATCCAGAAGGAAACCTTTGTGGATGACAGGGCTATGTATCCGTCTCATCTGGGATTGTATGTGTGTGATGGGACTAGCTGCATAATGTCCATGTTAGTTTCAATCTTAAAGGCAGCCTTACTGTTAGGGTAAGATGATGCAACTGCTCCAAGTAGCAGACTTTGACTGCCATTAAGAATAGCAGAATGGGAAACCAGACACATCAAATCCATGGGAAATTCTTCTCTCAAAATGGAGAGAGCCCTAAGTGTAAGGGCAGCACAGGCTGGTCTGTGAAGGGCAAGTGGTCAGTGTCCCCTCACCTTGTGGCTAGAAAGGGTGATAGAGATTCCACTCCACTTGCATACAGTAGAGAACCAAGTATGGCAAAATTACACTCTTCAGGGGGACAAAACCAACAGTGACTCCCATCGTACCACACAATGCCAGCTTGTACAGTGGCTCAGAATGGCACTCAATCCTGTTTTTCACTTCTGGTATATATATATATTAATGATAAAACTCCTGCCCCTTCCCCACTCACCATCTCCTACCTCCATGCTTTCCCCTTGACTGCTGTTTATTCAATGCCATCCCGCTTTGGGCTTCTGTTTGCACATATGGATGTGTGAAACTGTTTTTTTTAAAAGCATTGCATTAAAATCAGAGATCCAAATATTCTTGACCATGGAAGATGGTGGTTGTCTCTTCCAGGAGATGAGTTATATTGTGGCTGCTCCAAAGAGGTGATGGATATGATGGAGATCTTGGCAGGGAGAGAATGCATGGGTGGAAGAGCCACTATAATCAATAACTTTGCCAAAGGATTTATTCTTTGGGTAATGTACCTCTTGGGAGCAGGACACAGTGTTCCAGTCTTGTGACATCACGCTCAGCCCCTGACATGCCCAACAGTGACATCATACACACCCACATAGGGTTAAAACAAACAAACAGTGTTGGAACTTGGATGTATATTACAATCCAAGTTTGCAGTTGAACTGTAAAAGCTCAAATCAGAGAAGTCAATTACACTGTAGGAAAACTGGCACTTTTACATGCCATTCCAAGTTTTGTTATTTCATTGTGCCTTCAAAGTTATTGTTATAACTTCCTAATTAGAAGTATGCCAGTTTGTGGTTTTGGACCACAGCTCCAGAATTCTGGGAGAATCGACATTATCTCAACTCCAAATTTTTCTTCTGGGTTAGATTCAGGCACAGTCATACTTAGAGCAGACTCAGTGAAATCAATGACATTTAAGTTGCCCATAGGTTGCAGTGGTACCTACACTAGATACTGTATTGCTAAATCTAGTTGCAATCCAAAGTGGAATTCTGGGAGAATTGACATATCTCAACTCCAAATTGTATGCAGTTTCTTCTGGGTTAGATTCAGGCACAGTCATACTTAGAGCAGACTCAGTGAAATCAATGACATTTAAGTTGCCCATAGGTTGCAGTGGTACCTACACTAGATACTGTATTGCTAAATCTAGTTGCAATCCAAAGTGTTTAATTCAGTTGTTAAGGGGCAAAGAACAGGGGCCCTTACTGTACATACAGAATTGATACATGCAGTTTGTAGATCCCTAATCTCTTTCACAAATTATGTTGACTGCACAAGAAGCAGACTCAGTGAAATCAATGAAATTTAAGTTGTCCATGGGTTGCAGTGGTACCTATACTAGATATTGCTAAATCTAGTTGCAATCCGAAGTGTTTAATTCAGTTGTTGAGGGGCAAAGAACAGGGCCTCTCACTGTACGTACAGAACTGATACATACAGTTTGTAGATCCCCAAACTCTTTCACAAATTATGTTGACTGCACAAGAGTGGCAGAAGAGTGCATTATCCTCATCTCTCTCATGTCTATGCAATATCTGTACCTGTATGGCGTTCTAGAGAAAAGTAAGAAATGATTCAGGTGGACTAACAAGACTGTAATTTTGCATTGTGCCATGAAGGTTTGGTCGACTTCTTCCCTTTTTAAGACATAAATCCAGCTGTTAGTTTTAATAAGGACAGAACTATTGAATCAAGTGCTGAATAATAATGAGTTAACACTTCTGCAAATCCCAATGATTCAATAGATCTACTCTAGTTAGAATTAGCAGTTGTATTTCAGCTATAGCTCATGTTCTTGTTAAGATTCATTATGGAAAAATACTTCAAGTGAAGGTTATACCTGCTCAGGTAGACTCTAAAAGGAACAGTTTAGTCAGATGGCAAAATCAGTTTGTTACTTTTTCAGTATTAACTCAGAAAAAGAGTACTGCAAAGGATCTACTGTTGATTTGGATGGCCAGTGTTGTTCAGGATTAAAATGCCAGTTCCTGTGCCCACTTGCTTCCTGTGCATTTGTACATCAACCCATGGGACAAAAAGAATAGATCCTTCCAATATTCTCTCCTCACAAGGAGGCCTCCCTGTTATTGTCTACTGCTTGGAGAAGTAAGAGGAGGAAACAAGGAGAAACGAACTTTGGCAACCAATCTAGTGTGCCAAAACCCAGAAACTCATATTTGTAGTTTCAAAAGAAAAAAAAATTGGCTCTGTATCATATGGGTCTAATTGGATTTACTTCCTCAGTGCAGAAATACTTGAGACATTTCTAGAAACAGAAGAGACGCTCAGATTAACACGTACAATGCACTGAAGTTACAGGTGGCAAAACAGTTGGAAAAACAGTTATGCTGGCTGAAAATCCTCCTAAATGTAGAGAGATTGGAATTTAGGGTAGCTTGTTTCCATTGACGTTTGAGTACATTCAGATTTTGGAAGTGCTAAAAAAAGAAAGAAAGAAGTAAACAAGCAAGCCTTAGTTCCTGGAATCATACCCTCACCCCCTCGTTTCCTTTTTTTAAAAAGCCACTCCTAGTTTCACACCTTATAGCCCACTGACAAAGCAGGAGATAATATAGGCACCGTTTCTTTTCCTTGATAAAATTGCCCCCACTCTGGGCAGTGTATACTGTTCTCCCCTTCCATCTCTGTTCTGTCTTCACAATCGCAGCCAGACCAAGAGAAAGTGACAGGCCCCCTGCTACTCGATGAGCTTTATGGCTCAAAGAGGAACTGAACTGGTTTCTCCCCAATTCTAATCTCTGTGCCTGATGGCATAGTAGCTTTCCCACCTCTCATTTATCCATTTCATAATTCCTTTCACATAACCATTTCCCCATGCATGCTGTAACACTATATTTCTCTTTCTAGTTAGACTGATCTTTCCCTTGATGTTTATTTGCTAACTGATACACTGTCATCATTTTAAATTGCATCCCACATGAGGGAGATTATATTATGTGCTTGAAAATGTGATTTTTTAAAAAAAAGAACATTAAAGCCAAAACACAAAAGGTGCGAGAAAGGAAATTGTACAAAGTAACTTATGCTAACAATTTTGTACAGTTATAGATATATAACAAAGCACAAACAAAATTGGTACCCCACAGGGTCGTTGTGATGACATGAGGAGGGAAATAAACAGGTATGCTGTCTGGAGCTCAATCTATGAAATGTGCAGTGAACAAAGAAACACACATCTGTTAATAAATGTAAAATATGCTAAGCAGGCTTCATGTTCTTTCTTAAATTTAAAGGAAAGAGGAAAAGAAGGTGGTATGTAACTCAAGAGAGGCACTGGGCAACAGCTCTCCTCCTGGCATTGCCTGCCACCATTTTCCAGGGATCCCTCATGCACAGAAGGAGCCTGTGATTATTCTCTCTTTTATTGTTTTACACTTTTTGCTTGTTGCTCTAATGTCTCTTGTTTCTTTAATAAAGTTCTGTGGCTTTTTGTCTATTGATGTGTACATAGTCACCCAATTCCAAAAGAACTCTTGTCAACCTAGACAGGACCATCCCCAGCTGGATTCCAATCCTCACACACACACACCCCAACACGCTGTTATCTGCCCTCAAGCAACTTAGACTTGGGTGATACTATGAAGGATACCCCCCAACACACTGTTATCTGCCCTCAACTTAGACTTGGGTGATACTATGAAGGAGTGAAATCCAAAAAGTCCTATTATCAACAGGGTTTGTGGCTTCATTGCTTTCTATTTACTCTTGGCAGGCAATACTGTGAACAGTTTTCAGAGATCTGCAAACTATGTCAGGCTAGGTTCTCCCACAACTGCAACATTCACCCATAAGAAGATGAATCTTTAGTTCATTCATCTATCGGATCCTGTCAAACTGTGGATGGCTTCACTCATTAGCTCATAACATTGAAAACTTTGTTCCAAATTACTATGTACAAATGAAAAAGGTAGACAGTGAAGAAAGTCAACAGAAAAAAACTTGATTCATTTGAAAAGTGGTATCCGAGGAGAGTTTCACTCATAACAGTGGACTGCAATGAAGGCAAACAAATGGGTTCCAGATCAAATGAAGCTTGAATTTTATCTGGAAGCAAGAATGGCTAAACTGAGGCTATCATACTTTGGACATACCACGAGAAGACAAGACTGAAATATGAAAAGTGGAAGGCAGCAGGAAAAGACAAACACTGAGTGTGAAATGGATGGATTGACTTCTTTAAAGAAACAACAGCCTTGAATTTGTGAGAGCTGAGTAAGGTTTCTAATAATAGGACACACTGGAGGTCACTAGTTCATAGGATCATCATAAGTCAGAGGCAACTTGATGGTACAGAAAAAACAACATACCAAGCAAAGTTTGGAAATGTTACATTTTGGGACTACAGCTCTCAGAATCCCGAGTTACAATAGCCATAGATGACAACAGAGTTACAATAGCCATAGATGACAACAGAATCTTCTTCAGGACTGTGATGCAACTGACCACCTGATTTGTTGAAGAGTCAGATCAATGGTTCCCTATTCACAGACATTGATTGGCTGCTACAGTTGGCATGGAGACAGCTGAGGCCAAACAGAAACACAGCTCTTTGATGTCAGAATGAGGTCACAATCTGGACTGGTTTTTGTTTCTTTGCAAACCAAGAGACAGTTAACAGTCAGACTGAGCCTTAACATAATCAGGATGGATGTTTGTGATACAAAAGGAAAAAGGTATGTCTGTTTGTGTGGGGATGTAGTAACCTTTGACAACTTCTGTGGTATGGGATTCAACCACCGCTTGGGCCACTGGGAAGTAGCAATGGCAAACCACTCCTGGAATATTTAGCATACCTCAAAGACTGTTAGTGTCACTAGAAGTCAGAAGGGGTTTGCTGGCACATGACAGTCACCTTAACATTTTAACATGGGAAAAAGTGTATGTTGTTGTTGGAATCCGGCTCCAACAACCTGTTCTGTGGTATGGGATTCAACCACCGCTTGGGCCACTGGGAAGTAGCAATGGCAAACCACTCCTGGAATATTTAGCATACCTCAAAGACTGTTAGTGTCACTAGAAGTCAGAAGGGGTTTGCTGGCACATGACAGTCACCTTAACATTTTAACATGGGAAAAAGTGTATGTTGTTGTTGGAATCCGGCTCCAACAACCTGTGGTGATGGGTTCAAAGACTGTTAGTGTCACCAGAAGTCAGAAGGGGTTTGGTGGCACATGGCAATCACCTTAACATTTTAACATGGGGAAAAGTGTATGTTGTCAATAAAAATAGGCTCTCTAGAGCAGTGATCCTCAACCTTTGTAGGACCGCGGACTGGCTGAGCCTCTGAGGAAGGCGCCCCCCGCAGGTGCATGCAGGTGTGCGTGAACTCTCAGGTGCATGTGCGAAGCGGTGGGGGAGTGCCCACCTGCCAGCACCAGCATGAGCGGTCCCTCACCCGTTCGCGCATGTGCCCGGATGCCTGCACGCCCACCTGGATGCCCACCCACCCCTTTGCGCAGACACTCAGGCACATGCACAAAGCAGTGGGGGAGCACCCGCCCACCAGCACTGGTGTGAGTGGTCCCCCAACCCTTCGTACATGCACAGGGGCACCTGCATGTCCACCCACCTGTGCACCCACCCACCCCTTCGTGTGGGCACTTGGGTACATGTGTGAAGACGTGGGGGAGCGCTTATGCCAGCACTGGCACGTGCGCATGTGTGCAAAGCAGCTGTGGGGAGAGGAGCGCATGCGGGGGAGGAGGTCTACGGACCGGGGGTTGACAACCTCTGCTCTAGAGTTACTCAATAAATCACGAGCACACTTGGTTATCACTCTTGCTTCAGGTACGCCTGGGCTCTCTGCCAAGTCGGTTTCCTTAGCAACAGTGCTGTGGTGGGTAGAGGCCTCAATTTCAACTGCCGATTGCTGTGCCTTATTATGCTGCATGCAAAATACCTTTTTAGGCTGAATGTAATTTCCACCTTTAGGTGGACTAAAATCCCTTTTCTTTTGAGCATCACACTGAGCCCAAAAATGACCTTTCTCTCCACATGCATAACATTGTTTACTGACCTTAGGTTCAAAATAAAGAGTTTTATTAACCTTTCCCTCAGAACTATTAGATTTCAGGGAACTGTGCTCTGGAGATGAGGCTTTGGCTGTAAAATGGCTTCAATTAGCTTTGGTATTTCTGAGGTAATCTCTACTGGGTGCGGGGACTTCCTCCTGTCATCCCAACCTTTTCTACCAATTTTTACCTCAGAGAATTGAGGATCTCTGATCTCACTAATGGGATCATCATATTCAGATGCCTGTAGCACATTTTTAGGATCCTTGTCCTTGACCAAATAACATAATTCCCCTGGCAAAACTGAATAAAATTGTTCCAAGCCAAACACATTTTTTCATTTGGTCTAAGTAGGTGATATGTTCCTGTTCCAGTCATTTATTGAGATATTGTGTCAAACGTGCTCCAAACTGGGCAAAAGACTCCTCAGGTTTCTTGGAAATTGAACTAAATTTCCTTCTGAATTAATTCCAAATCTAGAATACAACATTTTTCTATATGCCTCAAAATCTCTAGCTTGCTCCAGAGGCATCTGAGAATAAAACTCAGCCAAAACTCCACTTATTTGTGATCTTAAAATTATCATCCTCTCATTATCTTTAATCTCAAAATTCCAACAAGCTCTCTCAAATGAAATTAGGAAAGATTCAGGACAATCTCCATTCCTATATTGGAAAATTTTCTTTAGGTTGATTTTTGAGAGACTTCCCACACTTTTTTTATTA